AAAACATATTCATAAATAAATAAAAAAAGATTCTATTTCTAATTTCAATAAACCAATTCTACAAAATTAGAATAATCCAAGCTCACCATTGGCTTTGGTTGTTGCACTTGTGCAATATTCAGAAGTTTATCGCCAAAATAAATTTATTTCGTATTAAATATAATACAGTCTCTTCATCTTTGTATTTTAATATCAATTTAGACTTGTTTAAAATTAGAATTAATCATGTATCCAAATTGCTGGAAAAAGGAATTATAAGTTCCCTTGGGCATGGCTGTGGCAAATCTGAAATCATTTCAATAATGATTATTAACATGTTTATTTATTTTTAAAATAATATTAAGAATCAAAAATATCAAGCCCGATTATGTGTCTCATATATATTTTTTTCATTATTTGTGTATTTTTTAACTAAACCTGAGTTACAACTTTTTCTATAGCATATCAATCATGTACAATAAAGATATTTTATGTACTATTTGAATTTTTTTTTTCAAGAAAGTCTTTAATGTGTTTCATTGAAAATAAATTATTAATAACTCACTTGTGACAACTACTTCTGAAGAGCATTCTTTGCTGAAAGCATATTTTGCCTCACTTTACTTGCATGCCTTTTGCCTAAAATATGGCTTTTGAAGATAGTTCATCCAAATGCAAATCACAAGGTGTACAATACTTATTTGCCATCACTATTTATTTACAGGCTTATTTTTTATGGAACTTCAATATGTTAATAAATTATCTGCAAAAAAAAAATGAATATTGAACAATATATTTCTCATGGCTCACTGTATGATATATGTCATTATATATATATTATCTTAGTAGCTATTAAAATAAATGAACAGTTCTGTGCTGAACCTTGTTTGAACATAGCTTATTATTTACTTTAATAAATAAAATATTGTCATATTTATCATAAAACTGGACAAATACAAATATTTAGTACAGTGCTTACTTGTTTGATAATCAACAACCTTCAAGAAATAATGTATTGGTAAAATACCATCAGCATTGCCCGGACATAAAATAACTTGATTTTCAGATTCATAAAATTTATAGCCGTCGGACAAAGCTGACTTGATATTGACATAAATTAAAACTTGGCAATTTTTCCTGATGCCACTGATACTATTTAGTCCTTTAGCAAAATGTATATGCATCCATTTCATGCGTTTCAATCCTTCCCTTTTTATTTTTTTCCATGAGTGATAAGTTCCATGAATAATTTCTGTATAAGTCGTGGTAATAGGAATTTCAAATAAATTTGGATTCTTTAAAACAATAGTATGTCCTTGGTTCGCTTTAATTTCAAATTGAAGTGTGATGGGGTTTTTTCTTAGAGTAAACCTTTGTTTATCATTACAAGCAACAACTCGTTGAAGATCTTCTAATGTTACATTTGGCCTAAATGATTTATGCTGCAATATGTCACTCACTTTAACAAAACCTTCTTCACATATTGGAACATTATCTTTCTCAGCTCCATGCCTTAATAGCCATGATAACTTTTTGCTGATTAAACTATCTTTAGATGATATTGATCTTAACTGAAAACATTCATGAGTCATTTCATGAGGCACAAGGATACATATAATTATCAGAGTTTATTCGATTTAGTAATATTTACCGTCATGTAAAATTGCAAACTAATAATCAAATCACAACATATACCTTAGTAGTTTCAAACCAATTGAAATAACATGTAATTAAAAACAATATGTAATATGACAGCTAACTGACGTCTCGAACCCGAATGAAACAAACGAAAAAATCACAGAGAAGAAAAAGATAACCCTGAAGTAATATTAGTGCTCAAGGGGGCTGCCAATATTCGACGAAGAAATAAAAGTCACAGCGCGAGTTTCAAATCGAAATCTAAACATTATCGACCTCAGTAACATTTATCTTTTAAATTATTTATACTTCTATTTATATATTATATAATACAAATAATTTCAAACAAAAAATACAATTATATATGTAAACTGTTTTTAATCATTTACTCTCATTAAACGATACAATTCAAATTTTCATTTGATGCCATCATAATCCAAGAATATACAAGAATACATTAACGTGCACATGCACATTATAGTCATTTTTATCATAAAAAAAAACTGAAGTTTATTCAACTTTAATCTTTAATTTCATTATACAACTGAGCTTAGCTTAATTTTTGTTCCCATTTTTTAGAAGTTAAACTGTTTACTTTGTTAATAAAGTTTAAGTTGTTCTAAACTTGAATTGAATGAATAAATTTTTCTAATTAAATTACATTTGAATCCTTTAAATATATAACTCGTGTTATGAGCTTTCATTAAAGGCTTTTAAATATCTGAAATCGGTGCAGCTAGAGATAAAAAAAAATATCGGTGCAGCCGTCTCTAAAAAAAAATCAAATTTTTGCTTACTTATATCACCTATACTATCTATACTAATGCATCGACATTTTTAATTTCGGTACCAAATGATCCAGGAAAACAGATTTTCTGGAAAATAAACTTATTCTTCTAAAATTAAATAAAATCTTTTTACAACCAAAATGTTCATTTATTATCAACATTACTGTCAGCAAATTTTGGGGGTTTTACAATATTTGACAATCATGCAATTTTAAAAATAGACCGTCATATTAAGAAAGGTAAATGCGATATATCCATTTAGTATAATAACAATATACTTAATGGTTATAACATAAACTATATGAATTACATTTTGTACAAATGAAACTTTATATTCATAAATATTCATCATGTTCAGGATTCATTTAGTCTTTGGCTAGGAAATTCATTTCATACTTTCCCAATTATATTAGAATATTATTAGTTAAAATTTATGGCAATAATTATTTTTGTTTTAGTAGGCTAAAAACACTAACTCTTCAGGTATGAGTCAGAGAACAAACTTTATTAATGAAATAGAATTGTAAATTTGAACACAAAGAATAAAATTTTATGAAACATATAAATGATATACTTATTTTTCAGGTATTTAAATAATAAATTTAATGTTACAGCTTTAATAACAAATTAACATATTTGAAATAATTTTATTCTGTATAAAAATAATTATTAAGTAGTATAAAACTAATATTACATTATAAATAAATAGATAATTGTTGTTCTATACATGTACATATAAGCATACTTATGTAATTAATGCCCAACAGAGCATCACATAATATATGCAGTAGAATGCATTTCTTATAAATAAAAAAATAATGACCAAAGATAGTATTTTAAAAAGCGATATCCTTTCATCATATTTTATAAAAAAAAGCATACAAGGAAATAACATTTACAGAACAGTACGGTAAATATTTCTTAAAATTGGAAATTTATTTATTGGTATATACGTAAATTTCACATGTATTTAAGCATGTGTATATTTATACATATATGTAAATATAATATATGTACATATTTAATATAAATAAATATAATTGAGTGTTATCTTATAACTAAATAATCTATATGCATGTAACGAATAATTTAGGCGAAAATGGAAATCATCAAAGAAATCGATACAAAGTATATATAAAAATGATCTAATTAATACAATATAAATATGAAATTCCAATAATATATTTTGGCAACTTATAATATTGACTGTTCTTTAATACTGAACAAATGATTTTAAATAATCAATCTACATTTAATCATTTCAATTTTTTTTTATAATTTATATCCAAATATTAAAATCATGTAACCATAAAGTTTCAATGTATTAGGTAGTAAGTATATAAAGCTGCCAAATATTATTACATCAAATTCGTATAATTTTTATTTCACGAATACGTTGCCTTAAAATAATTTAATTCTCAATACATAAAATAAATACTAATAATTATTGCAATGTTAAATTTATAGAGCATGTGACTTGGTGTATACTATTTTTTTTTAAAGGATACATATAAATTATCATATTTATAATTATATATTATTTCAATATGAAATCAGACTCACATCAAAGAACATTTTGATACAATTGAGAAACATTTCGTAAATTTTGCTTCAACTTATTTCAATTCTTTAATCATACAGTATTGTACTCTTAGACAATATCAAGAGGCTTCAAATGTCTTCATTTGTGATATTGGTTTCTATTATTTATAAAGAGTTTTCAAGCATCTCTACCACCAACATAAAATATATTTTATATACACATACATATATCAAGAAATATGAATCGTTCTTATATTTTTTATTTAAAGCAATAGAATTTATATACTTACAAACATATATACACCCATTCATACATACATACATTTATAATCATATGCATTTGCAAACATACCTGCATATGTATATAACATACACTTGTATACAGGATATTTAATTAACTCTCTTATTTAAATAAATATTCTTATTGCTTAAACTACAATAAAAATAACAACTAATATTATTAACGTACATCAGATTCACAAATGAGATCATTCACTTGATTTGAGTCACGTGTTGGAATTTTTTTGAGGTGTGACTCATTATCACTGGTTTTCTTATTTATTAACAGCTTTTCATCTAAATTGAAAAGATGAAAAAAATATTTTATTTATATTATAACTAAAGTATGCATATGTATGTGGGAGAATAAAGTTTTCATATAAATTTGCATATATGCATAGATAATAAATTAAATATTTCACTTACCATGTAATCCATTACTCTCATCAACTACACTTTGTTGCAGTGATACTGCTATCGTTTTGAACATTTCCTGTCTTGAGCTTTTCATAGCAAAGCTATTATGTCTTCCAGCATTATTATCTGTAGGCAAAATATTTTCGAGGTTGCTTGTATTTAACAATTCATGATGTGATGCAAAAAAGCCAGATATATCCTTTTTACTACGAGCTGCGAGGTGAAAGTAATTATCATCTCCTATGGGTGCTTGCCTAAAATAAAACATAATGGAATAATGGAATGGAATAATGTTCATATAATCTCGATCTTCTTCTCTCATTTTACCTGCTTCCATATTTCATCTGGCTTGCTTCAAAACCTAGCAGTTTAGTATGATTTAAATCTAAGTTTTTGGCAATATCTCGTAACTTCATTAAAGTAAATAAACAACTTTGTGGGTCTTCAGTTACTGGAGAAACCAAGCTACAATCTGCAGTACAAATTTTAAATAAAAATATACATAATGATAATAGCAGTAAATACCTGTTAAAGCTAAATTTTGTATACTCATAGAAACGAGGAAATATAAAGCAAAATCTTTATCTAAATCAACTAAGTATGCAACATTATTGCAATCAACCAAATATGATACTATTATTATACTTTTGTACACACCATTACCGGCAACTGTTTGGCATTCACAGGCTCGCACTAACATCTCCCAAGCAGTAAGATTTTTAACAAATAGCGAATGCAGTCGTTGAAGGTCCCACGCTGGGTCAAGAGTCATATGTAATTCTGATGTTCCACTTGACACAGAGACTGCTGTGCAACCTGGTGCGTTAGAAACAGTACTTTGGCAACTATAAAAATAGATAAATTAATGTCAGGTTCAGGCAATGTTATCTACATTATGATAAGTAAACAGGTTTATGAGGGGTAAATAATTAACAATCATTATTAATAAAAACATAATCATAAAAATGTATTTTTTATACTTGCCATTGCCATTGACCATTCAGGAATGCACATGGATGATAAACATTAAGTCTATTTCTATTTGTATTGCATACTTTATGTAAAATATCAACCCATTCTTTCAGTTCAACACAATTTGCTGTCTGAACATATAGCACTCTTTCTGCTTGTACAATTTGAAACATGTTCTTCATTTTGAAAGATCGTTCTGCAAGTTCTTCTACGGCCAAAATATTAGCCAATGGTATGGTACATAAAGCAGTTTTGCCTTTAGCCTTAGCATATGATAAACTTTGTGTGGTCAGTCGAAAGTATCGCTCCCGGAAATTGCGCCAACCAAACCGACGTCTGCCTTGAGCTCGTTTCGTCATCATACTAAAATAAAATTATATTTTTATCATTACGAATATATGTGGAATGATCATAATTGTATAAAGTTTTTAAGCAATACAAAAACTTACCCTTCTTTGAGCAAAATAACTTCATCATTAAAACTAGTGTCTCTTGGTCCGTAAGGTGTGGCTGACTTATCAATAATACGAACATTATCAGCTATGTTTTGCTGGTCTGATGTAGTTTTTGCATCGGATTCTTCTTCATGTGAAGAACTTGAGGCTGATACTAGCTCAAGAAACCTTTTCACAGATTCTACATGACGCTCGGTGCACATTGCTTTATATAAAGAGCACATATATTGTTCTTTAGCAGGTTGTTGGGCAGATCGTGAAGACACTAAATTTCCTAGACTTTGAATGGTTTTTGAAATCAAAGTCAATGTCCGATTTGTTTGGTCATCCTGATAAATATGCATTAAACATTTCATAAATAAACTTAGCAATAATGTATAAATTAGAAAATTACACTCTGCTGATAAAAATTGAACATACCATTTGTTCAGTAGTTAAGTCAAACAATCGTGGGCCAAGAATAGCAGGAGCAAAAAATCTTAGGAAAATAAATCCTGACACCACTGAATATCGCACTTGCTTATCCTGAGGAAATCTACGCGCGGCGCTTTCTCGCAAATGACTAAATATTTCACATAAAGCGCCAGGGCAATGTACTGCTGAGTCTGATATGGCTGAAAATACCTGCAAAATAATATAATTAATCTTAAAACTGTATGTGAATAAAATAACTGTTATTGACTGGGACTAAATTGTTATTGCCAATGAAAAAATTACATAGTATATTATAAATATTTTCATTAATGTAAAGAGTAGATTAATATTTGTAACTAACCTTTTCAACATATTCTTTGAGATTGTCAAGATTACCCTGAATAGCAGAAACATCTTTAACACGCATAGGGTCAATTTCACAAGGTTTGCGCTCCGCAAAAATAGTTTCCACAATAGTTTTAAGGGTTCGATGTAAATAAGGTAGGCCCCATAAACGCATAGCTTCATCCATCATTTTACTAACCAAGGTATTACCACGAAATATTGTCGTCGCGTCTCTGATGAGGATAAAAGTGAAACATCAATGTGGAGTTGATACAATATAATGAGTTTAATATCAAAATGATTAATGTTTATTAACATTAATGTTAATTACTCACGTAAGCTTTAAGATTTCATAATCTGCAAGCACTTTAATAATATCTACGATTTTGTGATGATGAGTAAAAAGTCTTACAAGAGGTTTAGCTGCATGTTCTTTGTCTTTAATTATCTCTCCTAATAAATAAACGGCACTTGATGTAACAGGCTGTAAAAAAATTATATATGTAATAACAATATATGTAACTTCAATTTACAAAATATTATAAAATTGGTTATGAACCTGAATTTGAGTGCTTTCTAAAAGCAAATCCCTCCAAGCATTATATGTCTGTTCTGGGAAAACTCTATCTTCTGTATAATCTAGCCTAAGTCTAAGAGATCCCAGACCAGAACTGCCTTCACTAGAGCTAAGTCTTGTTCCTGGTGGTGTGCGCCTTGAATCCGTAAATCCTGATTGTTGGTTTGTACTTGTCCTAATTAAAATTAAACAATATCGAAATTTAATCAAGATAGTAAATGATCAAGCTCTACATTTATACAATAATATGTTTAAGTATGTTAAATTTTACTACTAATATGTTTTAAATATTACTTGCAAATGGTTTAATATATGACATTTAAAAAAACAATGTTTAAAAATAACCTTCTAGGTTGCAACCGGTACCAAGCATCACGGGCTGTTGCTTCGCGTTGTTGGTGTCCTTTTAAAGGTATCCTAATTTCACCCAAAAATGAACCACTGCCACTAACCATGCCTGGTGAATCATGCCATAAACCAACTGATAATTCAAGAAGATCAGCTTCACCAGCAGGACACACCTTGAATTCAAAAATACATAAAATATCTGACAATTATTTTTTAAGTTACAACTATTAATATAAAAAAAATATTTGATCTCGAGCAAACACTCTAAAGAAAATTTTTCTTTTGCCTATGTCAAAACTTGTTATAGTAATTATTAGTTGGAAGAAAATTATTCACAACACTTAAGTCAATTAGTGAATTAATGATTGAAGTATGAAATTATCATGATGGTTTATTTGCAGTGCGCAGATATATACATTAAGAACATGAACATTATGATTTATGATTGATTGTATTAATTGTGTCCGATTTTATATGATTGTGTTGAAGGACTAAAACAGACGGACATACGAGCGAACAAAAAGTTTTAAACATTTTTTGTTCTACTATAGCTTATAAAAAATAACATACCCAAATTACAGCATCCTATAACAAATCGCCTGTTATAGTTCTTTGGGCCACTTGAAGGACTCCCAAATGGCCAATTCGGGCAAGAAAAATACATCCACCAATTAATTCAATAGCATTTAATTTAAGACACAATCATAACTTATAATAAATTTATGTATAGGAGAAGGTGGTAATACGGACCGTGAGGGTATACTATACAGCATAGTACTTTTAGTATTCACATTTTTAATGCGAGCAATATTAATGATAAAAATCATTTATTATCATCAAAATTATTCTAATTGTTGATTGTGATTTATCCCAAAAATTATTAAATATAACTACCTAAAAAACTGATTGCGTTAAATTTCCTACAGATGAGTAGCCGAGGTTATAGTTATGTAGTCAAATGGTATTAATTTGTTAATATTTTTTTTATAACAGCGCAATTTCCAACTTCTCCTCTACCATTAATACTGTAGAAAGAGCGTTTTAAACATGTATTTTTAACAAAATCTATTCGATTATAAGACTTAATTAGGAAGTATTCGAATTAAATACCTAACAATTATAAATTTCGATAGTAAATGTTATATTATAACATAGTGAAGTGTAGTGTTTGATCATGTAAAATGAAATTTAAGATATTTTTTTATGGCGAATATTGTAACTAAAGGACATTTTACAAAATAAATCAGATAGCTTCTTTATATAATACAGAAAAACACATTAACATGTTTGGAAATATTTGAAAATATATTTGATTTAAAATCTATTAACCTTTATTTTAAAAAAAAACCTTTAGGAGCTATCTTGGACAGGTGAAAATAACATTTTACTTTAAAAATATTGGTGCTCATCATAATATTTAATGAACATGTTTAAAAAAGAAGTCTTATTTCATCAAATACATGAAAATCACGCCATTTCGCTCACGCAGTCCGTCTGTGCTTTAAAAGTTTATAAATATCGATAAAAAAAATTTATTAGAAATATTTTTCAAACAATATTTAAAGAACCCCATAATCCATAAGTATTTATTATATTATTTTGTTATTTACAATGCTCCAATTAAAACTAATATAATTTATTGTATAAAAACGTAATTAGTTACTGTTACTCAACATGTTCTAATGTCTTATATTCATGTGAAAAATTATGATGCGTGATGGCACCGAACGGTATCGTGTCCGGCACAATTCAACGATAATTTTCGTGGGAAATTTCTACGCAAAATAAATGTGTTTGTTTTGTTCCAAGAAAATGACTTAGCAACGTATAGCAAGAAAGAACGTAAACGCAACGCAATCTAAATAACTTGAAAACATTACGCATATAGTAGATTTTTTTTAATAAATCGAGCGTCTACGGTATTTAATTCATTAACATAAAAATGAATAACTTAATAAAATTTTACCGTATAAGCGTGATTGCCCTCTCGGTCCCTTTCGCCAGTCTCTATTCTCAAATCAAAAGTAAACGTTTCATCAAATGTGGGACTTTCCGTTTTCCTTCTAACTTTGGTTTTTCTGACGATTTTTCTCCCGTTCGTGTACCTGTAAAATTATTAATAAGTCAAGCATATACTTGTAATGCAAACATAATTATTAAGTTGCATGATTTTCACTATAGGTTGCTATTGGAGAAGTTGTTTAATCTTATGGCTAGTATTAATTATCAAATTAAATAAAAAAACTAGAATATTTCATGAAATGATTATTTTATTACCTGGCAGTAACAATTGCATAAGGATCGCAAGCACCGTTCTTTAGGGCCAATTCCGCACATTCAGCTACTCGTACAGTAACACGTGTGGGTGCTCCAGGTACAGGTGGTGCCATATGTAGAGGAGGATCAAATGGAGAAACGGAAGGACATGTGCTACCGCCAGTCTCTGTGCTTTGTTTTAGTGTTTGTGGACTACAACAATGCGCGTTGAGGCTTTCTGAATGGCTCAGTGGACTTGCAGCCGTCCTGGAATAAAAATAACTTGATTAATTCGTCTGTACCTGCATTTCGCGGGAACAAGAACATCAGGCGTGTCGACCCGGCGCCAAAGCTCCGGGTCGACGAGCTGCGTATTCGAGTTATCTAAGGAACAAGGGTAATTTTATATTAGTGGCATTAACGCACGTGTTTGGATAATAACAATATAACAATGCTCCAAAACTTGATGCCATCTATAATCTCATCTGATATCACTACCGCTTGATGCCAATTTGCAAAGTGGATATCGAATCCGAAACAAGATGCGAACCCAAGGGGTTACCACAGAAACATTCTTCATCATTCTAAAATTTTTGTATTGAAAGTAGAATCTTGTAAGAAATAGTTTTGTTTAAAATAAATTGTATTACTTCTATAATATCGACTCTTAAACATCATTTGTAACTAGCTATTTTAAATTAGATTAACAACACTAGTACATATATTTCCTTAATACTTACCTAATTCGCCTTTCTCGAAGAGATCCAGCTCTTTGCTGCTGCATGGTTACGACTCCCGGCAATTCATCATCTATGCCTCGCCTGCGGGATAGTTTATTTCCACTGCCTGAAGCTGATGACGATAGAGAGTTAGGGGGGCCCTTTTCAAAATCCAGGAGAACTCTGGCAGCGCCTTGTACTTCACTGTCTGCATCCACGGGTCGGAGTGCGAACCAATGATCCCGACGGTCATAAGATTGTAGTTCTTCACGACGTATGGCAACCTAATAAAGGAAAGAGTTGGTAAAATAGGAATGTAAACAAAATTTAATTTTGTTTAATCCAATGTAATTTTGGATAAAACTGAATAAAAACTCATATCAGAAGTACTCGTCTTAAAACAATTCAGATGCGAAATTTGGCAAAATATCAGAGAGAAACTTTGTACTATATATGTGTAATGTACAATCAGGTATAAAATAATTATAACTAATATTAAAGTTCAAAATTTTAAAATTGCTAAATATTAAAATATAAAATGTCCGTACTTTTCCAACTGGTCTGTCCTGCCTCAGATGACGATCTCTATCGAAGACGTATACACACAGATGTCTGAACGTGCGTGGAATTTCAAACTGGAATTCTTCACCGAAAAATGGACTGAAACATATTAAAAAAACAATAATAATCTCGGAGAAATATTGAAAATTGAATATCATAGTAGTCAATATATACATATAAAATTTATCATGTGAAAAGAGACTAGTATATAGTCTTTATTGTTGCAAACGTTTCGACATTATGTTTTATGTTTTCATCAGTGAATATGAAAAAATGTATTGGTTTTTTTGAAAGCAAATATAACGTACAGTAATAGTACAAACCTGTAAAATATATGAGTTGAATACAGAATCCGATTTTGCCATAGATGAATCAGTTACTTTGTTTTCTCAAAAAAATTATTTGAAAAGCTATTACTAGCATTTGTAGTGTGTGTAATACGTGCAAATTATATATTTTACATTTTCATACTACTATTGTGGCGTCAAAAAATATTTTATTGTGACTTATATGCGATGTAAATTTGAATATCATAAAACAATTATTGCTGTTTTTTTTTTCAAAAAAAAAACTCTGACAAGAATCAATCTTTAAACACCCCCACAAAAGTGGATATATAAATTGAACACATGCATATATCAATGAAGTGTGCACATGTACGTAGTTCCGGTGTCTCAGACCGGATGTTGCGGTCTGCAACCGTTCGGAACCTCAAACGATGTTCAGTCATACATCATACATAGAAAAACATACATACATACATACATACATACATATATATATATATATATACATATATATATTATATACATAAATGCCCGATGTATTCAATATATCCTACGTAAATAATTTTCTATGAGCGGTGAGCACGTAATTACTCATCATATGCCGCACTTCTAAAGAAATGTCGTTTCGAAGAAAAGGCGACATACGACATACTATTAAAATTCCATTATCACGTCTAAATGATCAAATTTACCGATGAAGAATAACACCTTGATTACATTGCACGAAAACTGAAGATATATTTAGTTCTTATACACAGATTTGCAACACAATTTAAAGTAACTTCTTACATCAGAATTTATGTAATTGCCTATATTGAAATAAAATTATTGGAGCAAATTATAAATTAATTGCTTGTTATTTTAGTAAACATCGAGCTTGTCTAATATATTAATACATTCTAATACAAGCAGGTCAAAATTATAGTAGTTCAATAATGTTGACTAGAAATATAAAACATAAGCATATAAAATTAATTGCTGCATGTTTATATATTTAAAAAGACATCTTTTTGATTTTAATACATTTTATAAATATTTAAAAATTGGAATAAATTCTTGGAGAGAACTAATTATAAATTCGGTGCATATTCGCTAAAAATGAAGTTGGTCTGCAATGAAACAGTTGTAATATGAGACTAGTAAAATATAAAATACATCAGGCTTATATTTTTTTTTCAAATCATTATCGTATGTATATAAATATACTTGATTTAAATATGACACAATATACTATTCCACGAAAAGATGATCGCTTATTATGGCCTTCGATTGTAACAAAATTGCATCGATAACTCATTTGTAATATTTAATGAAAAAATAAGAATTAATTTTGAGTAACTTTATTTATTAAAATATAATGATTCCTAGAACTCATAACTTTATTTCGTAACTATTGTTATTTAATGTGCTTTTAATAAATAAAAATTAATAAAAATGATTCTTACATAAACTACGACACAACACGTGTTGTTTTTGATATCAAGTATAAAACAAAACGTTATAAAAATCTTAATGACATATTTACTCTGTTCAAATGACTATTTCGCTTACAAATTGTTTTTCAATCACATTGAAAACTAGTGGGGTGTATGGCATCGTGCCTTAAGGCAAATTGCTGGAACTTCCCGTACCATAACAAAATCTTCGAGGAATACTGAATGTTTTCAAATAGATTATTATTAATATTGTAACATTGTCTAATATTTATAAGAATTATATAAACTGAATTGCAAAGTTGAAATTATTTGTTTAAAGTATATTAGAACTATAGTCAGAATTAAAAATAAAATCTGAATTATTTTCGATATACAAAAAAAAGATACAAATATTTTTTTTCCAAAATCAATTATTTTGTTAAAACAAGCTGAAAGTTCTTTGAATCATTTAAATTGGACGCTTAGTTCTCTCAAAAACTGCCATTTTTCACACATTTAGCTCTCTGTATCTTCGAAATGGCTGGACCTGCCTTTGCCAAAAACTAATCAGCTCTTCTCCCTATCAATAGGAATCGAATGTTTTTAGAACCATTCAAATCGGTTGGTCCGTGCGCCCGAAAACGTGACTGGAAATTTGTATCCATACATACATACATACACACACACACATCCATTTTTTCTGAGGTATGCCAAAATGTTCAGAAACCTTCAAAACGTCGAGAAATGTAATGTAATGTAATTTAGTAATTTGTAATTAGTAATGTAATTTCGATTTTCGGCCCATTACAATAACTTACCCTACGGAAAGTTACAAACCGAAAATTATTCCAGTATGAAAATTTGAAACGTCGCATATTATCGATGACATTACTAAAAATCATTCATCATCTACAAGTTACGATAATAATTTTTTTGTTATCTCAAAAGAACAAGCACTGACAAGTTTACCATATATGAAATAATGTAATATAATTTAATCTTCGCCTTATTACCATTAATGCAAATAATATTTCCTTTATAAATACAAAAAGTGTGAAGTGTAAATAGATCCCAAACTTACTCCAGAGTGCGTTCTATCGTGCTAGTCCGATAAATCTCTTCTTGGTCAAGGGCGACCGCGCAATAGACGTCTCTGACGCCGGCGGGGCTCGTGGAACCGCCGGTGGTGGCATTACCCGCGGATGAAAAACCGCCGGAAGAGCCATCCGCCGCGCCGCCAGTCGGTCCGTGCGAGGAGACCGCCGTCAAGGTACTGCCGCGCCCGCATAGCGACTTGGCTTCTCCTAGTAATAAGAAATGATATAAGAATTAATACTAGAAATAATATATTATTTAAAAATCATTTTTTCCTCATCCCAAATAATAGTATAGCATAACGAAACTGGTTCATTTTATATGTTGACTAGCAAACCCGACGGAAGTCAAACGGAAGACCAGTCGGAATCATTGGTATGTCACTAAATCGCCAGCAATTTTTTATTGAATGGTGAAATTCAGTGCGTGTACATCATTATTCTTTGCGGCAAGAATTGCTCGTTGACTCTACCAAGCATAATTCTGATAATTTCACTAATGTCATTACTCGAATTTTTAATTACGGGGTGCGTAAAGTTCCAGCAGCTTGCATTAAGGCACGATGCCATGCACAACTAATTTTTTTAGCTATAAACCTGGCGGAGCCCGAGACCTTTCCAACAAATGCAAAATTGTCGAAATCGGTTCGTGCGTTCTGGAGTTATTTCGTCAGGAAGGAAAACCCGACTTATTTATATATATATATATGTTTATATAATACTTTACTCTTGACAATTTTTTAATGTGGTAAACCCAAATAAATATAACTACAGACCTCCAACATCCCACACTCTAATTTTTCGATTTGTAGTTACCAGTACATTATTACCAGATTATTGAAGTAAAACTTCTTTAGGCGCAATTAGGATGTAAATCCGCACAAATGCAACGGAAGTGCGTTACCGCATATAAGAAAAGATAAGAGTGATGTACGTGAATAAAGATCTGTCGTTGTATGCGTAACGGCATCAACGTTGCATGCGTACCGATATCAACAAGGAAATCGGCATAGATAAATAAACAGTTTAAAGTTACATTGTAGTACAAATCTTGATTTAATGAAAAATGCCTGAATCAGAAGAATATTTTACCCTGTTCCTTGAAAATAATAAAACAAATTAAACATTTGTACCGTGTACTAAACGCAAGTATATTGACTAGAAATTATTTTTATATTAATCGTAGTTTCTATAAATCTTTGAAGTTATTGAAATAGAAAATATTTTTTAGGTAAGACAGATATTACAGCTGTTCAAAGAATGAGATTAAATCGTCAGCGAAAAAGTAAAAAAAATACAAGCAGTCAATGAATGCATGTTAATTTTAATTACATGAAGTTCTTCAAACACAATTATTACATGATGAGTGAAATTGTGAAAACACTATTTGTTTAGGCGTTGTTTAACATAATCCACTGTGTGAACAAATATTATAGAATTTATTAATCAGCAATTACTTCATTTCTCTAATGAACGTTCATTTCTAAATGCTAATTACAATGACAAACCGATCATGTCATATTTGAAGTATGACTTTAATTACATAATTGTTTTTAAATATTATAAATATTTTTAATGCTATTATAAATATATAATTTATAATTTATCATTATATAAATGTGTAGAATGGTTGACACTAATAAATGTGTGCATCGCGAGTGTTATCATATCACTAACAATCAAAATTGTTATATGGATGTATTTATTTTTACAGTATCTTGTACAGTAGCAAATAAGTTTTACTTCAATCGCGTGTGAACCTTACGCGCACTCTTTTTTCATTTATTTGAAAGTATGTAAGTTAATATGCGACTATCTTTAAAAGTGATTTTAAATAAAATTAGTAAGATCATTAAGCAAAACATTCATTCAGCATTTGTTAAATCGATATTGTATATCTTTACTAGCAAGATTTTTAACCTCTTAAAGACCTCATTAACGTATATTTAACGAAAACAAACTCATTGCAAGTAATTGCATTAGCAAATATTTTAAAAGTGTGAGGTGACTATAAATATAATAATACAACAAAAATGTGTAAAAATATTACAGTAATGGAACGAATAGCGTCATATGTTTTTAAATTCCAAATGTACTATTCAGGTAACGAACGACTTTTTAATTACTTTAAATTTTTTGAGATGCACTAAAACTATAATGATAATATAAAACTAAATTATATGCACTTACGTAAGTAATTGTTAATATAAACTTTCATCTCTACAATTATTAAGTTCATAAAAAAATTTAGCATTTATCACATATTCGAACTTGAAATCTTATAACATCACAATCTATACATCTTAGTCCAAAGTAAATAGTTATTGTATTAGAAATAAATATACCATTAAAATCTTATACGAACAACACTAATCTACAAAACAATAAAATAATATAATCTTTTGAATGCAATACTTAAATACTAAACTAAAATCAATATACGTCTATAATAATCATAATTGCAGCACTTCCCATGGGAAGTTTCATTTCGATATTATTAAAGATACGAAAAAAATCTTTCAAATAATTTAGTACAAATTGTTAAGATTACATTATATTCGATTGCGTGACAACTATTCTGTAACAAAAGATATAGATATGAGTTATATACATTTCTAAAAGTTTGAAATAGATACTCTACATAGTGGGAATCATAATAATGAAATTAATAAATACAATATTAATATTTTTGAAGAAAGTTCTAAATTACAGAAACAGAATAATTGATATTAGGTTGTCAAATATCTCCCTTCCGCTTTTTTCTCTTGGTTTATAATACAAAAAGGCGGAAGGGAGATATTTGACAACCTTATATATAAGCAGGTACTGAGATTAACCGTTGTAATTTAAATTTTATAAATTAATGCAAAAGCATAATTCATAAGCAAATCATAAATATTTTCAATACAAAATTTATGGATGTGTAAATAAAGTTTTAAGGATGGCTTCGATCAATTGCTTATTTTAGACAATTATTTCTGGAGACGAACAGATCTGTTTATTTAGTTATATATTCATAAGGATATTTATTCAGGCCATTGTTAAATATGTAAAATGTTTATCGGAATAAAAATGATTATTTGTTGATCACTAAATCTATAAACGAAATGTGAAATGATAAATGATCGTTCATTTTCCAGAATATTTTACAAGAAAATTGCTCAAGACCGTCACCGCGCAAGGTCTACAAATGCAAATAAGAAAAAAATCGACGGATGGGAGACTGAATAATATGTAGGTGTTTCATTCGCATAAAACAAACATAAAGCATTAGGTCGCGCACGCGCTCCTTCTGTCCGTGTGGCACTTTTCATGAAACGCCTAAATTTTCCACGCTTATATGATATATTTGTAATACAAACACAAATGATTTAATAAAGAATATTTTTATTTTGCAACAAATGAACGGCCTAATATTATTATAATTTTTTTTATATTCTCATTTTTAACAGCTATCAGTTTTAATAGATACAAGCTGTTGTAAAGGAGTTTCACGAAGTATTTAGATGGTAACCCAACAGTTGACCTAAATCTAAATTTGATATATAATTTATAATATTAGAACTAATCTAATAGTGATTATATATTATTTAATTACATACAGCATAGAGTTATTTTTAATCGCAAACATATTTTGGGTAATAAAAAAAAAAAAAAAAAATAGATATCATTACTGCTCGATATGAGTTTGACCGTAACATGATATGAGGCAGTAGGAAAATTTATTTTCAATTGAAGATATAGATTCATATTGGATATATAGATCCAAAATATGTTTTCCTGTAAAAATAGCTCTTGGTAGGCATTGCTGCATCAAAATAAATAATGTATGATCAATATTAGATTGACTCTAATGATAAAAAAATATTTAAAACAATATTTATAAAAGGTTCTTTAAAAAATCCAGATGGGTTATTTATAATAATCTTAAGATTCTTGTCACAATTGTAACACAAATTCATTAACTTAAACTAATTCAAATCAAAAGCAAAACCGGGACAATTTTGATTTAAAATTTGATAATAATTATCATTATTTATAAGAAATTATTCAATAAGTAAATAGTTAAAATTATATAATTATCAATAAAATATTGTGAATTTTATATCGAATGGAAAAACAACTACTGAGTTGTTTTTTCCAACATGTCCTTGTAGTATACAATGTCTCTTTTCGGCCGACTATTGTAAATTCATCAAATTTATTGAATGTCCTTTACTGGACAGTTGTAAATAAAAGAGATAATAAAAAAAAATAAAATATCAGAGAAGATAGAAATAATTTAACTAATAAATAAATTAACCCTCTCTGACCCGACTTTTTGTTTTATGACTTTCAAGTCACATCAGCGGCCTATAACGTTCTCACTCCTTATATAAAAATGTTATTTTAGGTTGAAAAGTCTATTAAAGGTCATAAATGTTGATAATGCTTGTCTTGGCAATGCTATAAGTTTTATTCCTCATTTCCCAAAAAAACTATTTGGAAAAATATTGAAAAAATCAAAATGTGACCTGAAAGCTACGCGGGCCCATAACCCGCGATGATTACCCCCAATCAACAAATATGTTTTTTTTTTGTGGTTATTGTAAATATATATGAGAATTTACTTTCCTAATTTGTTAGAATAAAATCAATGAAATTCCATGAATTTTGGTAACTGTCCATTCAATTGAACGTAAAAATCCCAAAAATTTCGTTAACATTTGAACCAAACTTTTTATCACAAAACATTAGCTCAACCATATTTAGTTTTCTAGCTTGAAACTCGGTAATGATTTTTCCATGAAAACAAAAATACTACATATCAGATTACCACATGTATTAGACAACAAAAACATTATAGTCACATATTGTAAGGTCCATGTGCAAAGCTCCTCCACATATAATTAATTATTTATAAAATTGCAGCTGATTATACATTTAAAAGAATCATGTTTCTCTAAGAAATCAAAGAATCTCCAACTCGAGGGGTCAATCAAAATAATATACATTTTTTAAGACAATGCGCTGTAATGTAATGCATTAAGAGATTATCTCTATCAGATATCTCTTTTTTTTTTTTTGACATTTTATTTAAGATCTTGAGGCCATTTTTCCTTCAATCTTCGTGTGGGATATTCCTCGCTTAATTCTTTTAAATATATGTTACGAGGGGACTATGTTGAAATGAAAATCATCATCAGCCATTAGAAATAAATTAGTCA